CACACGTTTGACTTGCACCAACAAAGCATGCGCCCCGCCGCCGCCTATGAAATGAGACGGCGACGGTCCCCTATTGACAAGTTTACCATTTGAATCATCGCAACTTTACAGTCGACGGATAAAGCCTCGTCGAACACATGACAGTAGGACGGGCATATTGAAGCAACGCTGGCGGCGCTAACGGTGTTAAGGGAGTCGAACAACTAGAGACCTGCCAAGGAAATAGCTCGTTTGAGGCAATTTCATGCTAAAGTACGGAGGCAAACGAGGCTCAACGCAACAAGAGGAGGTGGAACGACGCACTGGTGTCTTAGAGCCGAAGAACCAGCCCGAAGTAACACCGAACAGACAGACATTCCCTTCGAATCGAACGACTCCGGTAAGTAGCCTTCGAAGTCCCCTTCGATTCGAACGACTAGGGGAAGTAGCCGGAGTTGCAGTGAACTCTCAAAAGCGGTTCTTCCTAAAAAACAGGATGCACGAACGAGTGAAACAAACGTTGCGTCATGTTTTGGCACAGTACGGCATAACACCACTATGCCGCATACTTCTGCACGACGGCGAATCATCGACAAGGCCAACGGCCATCACACACTCTTCTTCAAGTACTTCGTCTGACACGACAGGCTACAATTATAAACTGTGGCATGTAAGACGGCCATTTATGTAACAAATGGCATTACTGAGACAGCGGGAACATTTTCATGCAAACTTTGAATAGCTGAACAGAAACTTCGCCACGTACCGCTACAATAGGCGAAAAGCGAACAACCACGCCAGGTCGGTGCGACGCACAAGTATGTGCTTTCCATGGACAGAAAATGAATCGGTAAAGTTTGCCGTCTGGTGCCTGTGGTAGGCATGTGGCGTGGCAAAGGTCATGGTAAATCAGGGTGAAGCATGCGTTTTCAAAGCTATGTAAATTTATCCTCTCCAACTCCTGCACCAAGCTGTTCAAAAGTTCACTTTATTCCACAAGGTTCCAATGCTTCCGCATTTATGCTAGAAATGAAACATACAGAAAATCTGTGATCCCACAGATGGCTCAGACCCTGAAAATCGAGGATCCGGAAAAGCGAAATCTGTTCAGATCGATCTGTGTTAAACCAACACGTTTAGATATTCATCTGAATCAATTTTGTATCCATCGTTCCGTTACCGATGGAGTATTTGATTTATCTGTCCTTGAGCATTACGTTTATCCTGCTGTACAGTGGGCCAATGATTGCTGAAATGTTCGTCATTGCTAGTCTTATGCGCTATTTCCGCCAACTGAAGCAGGCAAAAGCTTCTGATTGATTGATTGCCTGAAGCAAACTCGCATCACTCCTCGTATCACCGAAGAGTCGTTTCGAAACGGCTTAGAATCGTGACCACGGTGGCAGAAGACAAGTATGCAGTAGCAATCCATTTCGCAGACTCGTACAGCCGCAATCTAATGGATCGATCTAAGGTCAGGAGGCTACGACTTCTTGAAATACACCGCACGGCCTCTTTAAACTTAAATCTGGTCTGCGGAACCTGCTTGAATGAAAGAAACTGCGATCATAGGACAGCAGAATCATCCTTATGTCCAATAAACCAGAAAGTATCCAAATTTTTTGAAAATGAGTCGATGGCTGATTAAATAAATGAGTGAAATAGTGGAGGAAGGAGGATGAGGCAACAGAAGAATAATAAATAATGAACGAACGAACGAATGCACGGATTAATGATCGACTGACTGAATGATTCAGCAAAATGATGAACGAATGAACGAAGAGGAAAAGCTTAGAAGAAATTAACGAAAAAAGCATTGATTCGACTAGTGAAAGAATGAATGACGTGACTATCGTTGACAGATGTAAAATTTGGCTTCTGGCTAGAGCAATCATATTCCAAGTATACTTTATGCAGATGGCGAATAAAAGTCGAAATCAAACTTACTACCGTAGCTCGGAACAGCAACAGCTCACTTTACAACGACTCCATCATGGGACAAGCACGAAAGCTCCGCATATGAAATAAAAAACTTTCATTCGTCATCTGAGCATATCTTCGTCGTGGATGCGCCATGAACACGTCGCCGCTCCATCAACAGCAGTTTTGGGCATCCACCATGTAACTTGACTATGGGATCATTACAACGGTATTTTGAACGAACGACTCAGCGTTGGCGGGTCAGCAGAACCCGGTTTATAGTTTCGGGACATCCGCCGACTGTCTCTCAGGTAAACCACATGACCAGGGACCGGCGGCTCATCTTCTTTGGGGTCGAAGAAAGCAGAAGTGCTTGGAAAGCGATTACGGGGGGACACCTTACATATTTTTCTCTCCATCACCTTTGTGTGCCCATCAGTTTGTTCTCCTCGGCATTAGCAGCAGATCAGCGTTCAGAGCCGTATGTCATGGCACAGAGGACGGTTGCACCGAACAGTTCTTTTTCGCCCGCACCGCCACCTCATCGTCGAGTGATGAAGTTTCAATACGATTCAAGCTGTGTATGCCGCCTTCCTTCGTCGATCGATTTCCCCGCTTACGGAGATTATGCGGTTCACCTGACCACCAAGGTATGCATCGGCGGGGACTTCTTCCGGTTGTTCGCCACCTACGTCGTAGGTAGAGCCCTAAGAGCACTCACTGCTCTGTTCCCTCCATATCGAAACGTCTCTGGAGATGTCATCCTCTGAACCAACTGTGAGAGACTCTTCTTGCAAGTGCCGGATCATCTGTTGGAGCTCGACCGTGTTTTACGCGAAGACAATGCCGTCGTGCACAACAACCAAGTGCGTTTGCTGCTTTAATCGATATTGATGCCACTGCACCATCTTAGCTGGTTCTACGGTGACTCCAAAGCTGCGGCAACGACCAATGATGTAATGGTATCTTCTTGGCACACTGGTCCAGCCTGGTTCCCTACTCAACTTGATATCAGTCGCGCTACCATTGTTTAATTCTTCGACCAGGCTGAACATGGCAAAAATGGTATATTCCTTGCTCATGCAAGGCGGGCGGCAAGCATCGCCATCAATTCTATCGAATCGGACGTCCTCCCGGTTGACGCAAGCAAAACAGAGTGGCGCTTGATCTTCGTTGTACTTTTTGGTCAGTCGCTGGATGATATGTACCCGGTGGATGGTAGACAACCCTGCATGAAAACCGGCCTGTTTCTGGCTTGTGATAAGTTTGCATTCCTTCAAAATACAGAGAGTGGATTGGATGACGCTGATAAGTACTTTATAAGTTTGCGACAGGAGTCTATAGTTCTTGAGGTCATCGGAGTAGCCTTCCTTTACAAGAAAATTCGTTTCTAATATCTTCCACACTTTAGGTGTCTTACGTTGCTTGATATATCCAGTAAAATGTTTATCAAGCAACTTAAAGAAAATTTTCCTCCAGCTTAAACAAATTCTGGTCGTATATTGTCCTCGCCTGGACATTTGCAATTTTCAATGCTTCTCATTGTCCATTCAAAGTGCGGACGCTTCTGACTGACGCCCATTTTGGAAGAGTACCGATTACTGTAGAGCCCTATGCCGATCGCGTTCATCTGATTTCGACCAGTAGCCCTTGCTCCCCTTTCGTCGTTCAACTCTCTCGGAATCCATTGTTTCAGGCGGTTATCTCGTTCAACTGTCTGCAGATATTTCTCTCGTTCCGTAGCGCTCTTAATCGAGTTCTTCTGTAATTTTCTTATTCTTTCCTCAACTTCTACCTTACCTATTTGCATAATGCAGTGTACAAATCCTCGATTTTCCTTTCACTCAACAGTTGGGTCCTTCTAGCCATCAGCTGCCTTGATGAAGGACTGATGCGTTAGTTTCTCGTTCATTCTGCTGTTCATGTTGATGTTCTAAAGGCAGTCCTGATGGTATTAACAAAATGGTCATAATCCGTATGTATCCTGTCGTTGATGGCAATTTCAGGTTTCATTCATGGCAGCCTCTCCGCGAAAACCTCTGCATCGAATCGTAGTTTTCCACAAGGCGGTGATCCGTGGTCTGTGGCTTTTGATACGTTCACCTTTTGCGACCTCGATCGTAACTTTGGATCTAAAAATCCTGTGATTTGACCTTGTACAGATGATGCTTTCGCATATGACCAATAAGCCTGATATTACTATTTTCTTGTCCTTCAGTACAATATCGATTTGGTTAACAGACTTTCTGTCTCGGCCTCTCCATATTCATTGACTCCCTGAAGCTTTCTGGAAAACAGTGTTCATGACGTAAAGGTGGTTGCTTCCAGCGAAAGTTGTAAAGCGATTTCCAAGAAAATTTTTCCGCTTTTTCCACATTGGCCGAAAATATCACAGTGTAGTTCATTCTTTACCCAATGACTGGACTGAAGTCTCCTTGAAAAATCATGAAGGTAGTTTCCTTCTCTACCGCGCCTTTCAATATATCGTAGAATTGCTCGATCTCTTCATCGTCAGCTTGCTGGGTTGGGCTTGTCGACTGTTTTTATTATTCTCTTATTGTCAATCTGTAGAAGTGGAGTTGCTATAAATGGCAAAGCCCTACTTTCTATCATGAACCGAAGGCTCGCCTGTACGAGCTCGGTTGTCGAAAGCCTCCCGAGGAATATTTAGTCACCATTATCCCATTACATCGCAAGTTCAGTGGATCTTTGGATTCCGCATATTCTAGTGACGTCAGCCTTGATCGTTTCCGTGTTATAAACTTTGATAAACGCGTCTGTCAGAAGTGTTATTGCATTACATCTGACCTCGAGGATCTTGACGATGTTCCTGGTCCGCTTATCAATCGAGTGCTCAGGCTTACCGAGTCCTATGTGATGTTCAGGTAGACGTGGTAGCCTGCACCTACTTTTCTGGCTTCCGTTCATCTGTGATCGCTCTCCTCTGGCGATGAATTGCCTGACAGTTCGTTCGGAGTGCCAACTATGGCCAATGTCTCTTCAGTTCTCATCTGGCCAAACGAATTCAGACCAGTGGAGCAGTCTACGAGTTTCTGGTCGTCAGTAACACCGCATCAATCTATCGGAGTGAGCTCGTGTACCACTTGCAAGCCTCACGCAACAGGATAAACAAAAATGTAAGACTACCATGTAGAAGCACCAAGTATATCAAGATATCACAAACGGAAATTAGTCTACAGCACTCGCATCAAATGAGGGACGCACTCCAGATCTTCTGAACCACTACATGCAGGAGAATCGACACAGATACGACTGGTTCGTCGTCATGCCGTGGATGAGCCACATGATTAAGAAATTCCGCAACAAAGTGCTCAATGGCACTGAGAACCTTGGAAGCCACTGTAGACGTCAGTATGAAGTACTGCCATATCAGCGAAAAATACTCAGCTGTACCACAGTCCGGAATTTTTAAGACAAGAAAATTGAGATGGCAGTGAAACAAGGACGCATCAAGAAGAGACGACTACCGTCCACTGCAGACATGCCCAATCATAGTTAAAGAAGCAAAACGCAACCAAGACGAACCGCGCCGAGTTACGCATTCAAAATGAAACCGCCTCTTCTGTGCACTTCATGCGGAGGCGGAACGCACCGAAGCTACACCTAGACGGACAGGCTTAGCAGCAAACAGAAACAAGCAGACGACGGAAGCGATGGTGGACACGTACAGGAAAAGTATCGAGTAAGTCGGGCAAACGTTACACGCGAAAACGGAGTACAATGAGACAACGAGTGACCGACGCCAACTCTCGAGAAAGCGGTCCATTCCCAATGGAAAAAAACGTGACACACGAAAAAATGGAAAAAAAGCAGAAGGAAAAAATAGCAAGGCTTACAAAATTGCAAAGAGCTCTTCATACAGACTAATATGCAATAAAACGAGGTAAAAAGCTCGTGCATTTTGTGTTTTCTTCGTTTTGCTTCCGCCGCTCAGTGGCAGGGGCAGATGAAATACAAACGATTGGTTCCTGTTACATTCTGCGTGGAATGATGTCAGATTTCTTCAACGAGAGCGTCCAGTTGCCTCTAAGAAGAGACGGAAATCATCTGATGTGTCAGTTACTCTTCCTCTTTCCTTCATTGCTTCTTCTCTCATTCTTTTCCGTTGCATAACTGACGGAGACTAAGAACTTCAGTTGAAAATGTCCAAATTTTTTAGACAATTTACAGTCACCGAGGCTGCATGCCGGAAATACGTTACGTCTAAAAATCTGGTCATTTGAATATAAAGTTGCTAATGATCTGCCCTCAACAACAAGACATAATATTAGGTTACCTCGCAAGCGAACTTTGAATGATCTGGTTCACACGATCGCCATCACATTTCTGGCGGGATTTCATCTTCGTGCGATTGGTCAGATCATCTTTCCCCCCGCTACAATCGGGTTCTCACTGCTTTCTACGAAACCAGAAACTATGCCTTGACAATTATGTTCAGAAATCACGGGGAGAACGGCGATCATAAAAATTTTAACTGAATAATAGTCTGACGCCTTCATGAAAAAGGGCACGTAGTTTGGCAGCTAAATGAGCAGAAAAACTCCGCCATGGCCGGTCCCAAGCCCGGATGAGAAAGGAGGAGGGTTGGAGACCGTGGCAAGTC